CATTCTTGATCAAATCCTTACAAATATGCTCCCTCTCTTTGACACTGTTAGCCATCTCCCCCCAATCGGACGCTCCGACCACCAATGTCTTCTAATCAAGCCCATTAAAAGACAGAAAACTCCGGTTACGTCAAAAAAAATTAGATTGATGAAACGAGCAAATTTAAATGACCTCTCCCTGAATATGGCTTCTGAAGATTGGACTGCTGTATATTCAGCACTGGATGTGGATGAGAAAGTATCAGCTTATAACTCCATTATAATCAAGATGCTTGACGAGTTCTTACCTGAAAAAACCATCAGAGTACATCACTCTGATAAACCGTGGATCACTGGTAATATTAAAATGCAAATCAAAGCTCGTCAGAAAGCCTTTTCTCGTGGTGATCAGCCAAGATACAAACAACTCTGCGAGAAAGTGGCAAATCTTATAGCTAAAGCTAAAGCCACCTACTATCGGTCCAAGGCCTCAGAATTTCGTACCTCGAATCAATCGAAGTGGTATAACTGTATCTACTCTTTAGTAAATGCCGAAAACACAACCCACACCCAATTTCCACACAGGCCCGAAAACCTAGACTTATCCGACTTAGCTGAAAAACTTCAGAAAGCCTTCACTAAACCATGGTCGGACCGTTACACGAATGTCGCCTTTGAAATACCTGAAGTGAACCACCCACATAAGAATAACAAACCACCTCTTCCTTCTATTGGCCAAGTTAAAGCAGTCTTAAAACATCTTAATCCAAGAAAAGCAACTGGCATTGATAAGGTTCCTGCATGGATGCTTATAATGTTCTTGTCGTTTCAAGCAAATAACATGCCCACAAAAACGTTGTTTTAACTCGTAACTTTAATAGAAAGTAAAAGAAAAGGTAAACAACGGTTCCGGGCAAACCGTAGATTTCTTACATCCTTTATATCATGCTATAAATCACATCTTAAAGTCTTCGTAAATATAAAATGTCTTCTTGTTCTGAGTAAATATTTCTAGACCTCGAGGACAGTCACGTGATCTAAAGTTCGCGACGCACACGCGCGCACGCCACGCGATAGCAGTTACATGGCTCCCCTAAATTTGCTAAAATTTACGCAATCATAAACATAACATAACACAACAGAATTTAAAGTAAAAATTTCGATACTTGAAAGGCTCCTCGTCGGGGATTCCCGGTCATTGTTCACATGGTACTAACAACACCAGTTTGTGGATTGGACGTTCTAGTGTTCTCAATGAGTTTGTCCTCTTTCCTTGGTTCGTGATCTTCCAATCTCCGACAGCAAGCTTCACTTTACGGACTAAACCGTCTTCTTCTTCGTCGGCCTTTACCACACGAGCTAACGACCAACGATTCCGAGGTGTATCATTATCTTTAATCACGACAACGTCATCAACCTTGAAATTTCTTCTTGGACGGAACCATTTTTGTCGTTCTTGTAAAGCATGCAAAAACTCTTTCCTCCACCGCGTCCAGAATTCATTGCTAAGGTGTTGCACTCGTTTCCAGTGCTTACGCAAGTACATATCCGCCGTTTGAAACACTCCAGGAGGTGGAAGAACTATCTTACTTTTCATCGTGAGGAGATTATTAGGCGTCAAGGGCTCTGGACAGTCAGGAGAACTTAAGTTGTCGACCGTGAGCGGGTGGCTGTTAACGATTGATTCGGCTTCGCACATAAACGTACGAAGAGATTCCTCATTTAGTTGATATCCATTCTTGTGAAGGATTGCATTTAAAACGTTACGGACAGTTCTAATCTGCCTCTCCCAAACTCCACCCATGTGACTGGCTTTGGGAGTATTGAATTTAAAGTCGAACCAGTCACAGTTCTCCTTCAGCAGCTCGGCTTTAATTCTTTCTTGGCTCATTTCTTCGAGACACTTTCGTAACTCCGCGCTTGCACCGACGAAATTAGTTCCACAATCGCATCTGAGTTGGCGAATGGGACCTCTTCTGCAGACAAAACGTCGATAGGCGTTTAAGAACGAGTCAGTTTCAAGGGTCTCTGAAACTTCCAGATGAATGGCTCGAGAAGACATGCACGTGAAAAGTACGCCGTATCTCTTCATTTCCTTCCTTCCTTGCTTTATATACCACGGTCCGAAGTAGTCCACGGCACTATATGTGAAAGGAGGAGAAGCTTCTAATCTTTCCTTTGGAAGGTCCGCCATTTTCTGATCCTTTACGGTAGCACGTAATCTCTGGCATGTTGCACATTTCTTGATGAGCTTCGCGACGACTGACTTTCCACCAATATCCAATATCCAGATGATCGGACTTCGTTCATTGTAATCCCCCGTCCTTGGTGTTCAACTCCTTCGTGAAGTTGTCGCACGACGAGCTCTGATAAGTACTCCTTCTTCGGTAGCACGATCGGATGTTTCGCTTTGTCATCGATGCTCGCACTTCTTATTCTTCCTCCCACCCTTATTAATCCATTCTCGTCGATGAAGGGATCTAGTCGCAATAAGGTACTTGATTTGGACACCACCCGTTTCTTTCTCTCGGATCTTGAGTGATTTTGATCTTCCTTTTCTTGTTTCAGCGAGCTCAGTTCCTTGCTAAAGGCTTGTTTCTGAACTAATTTCACGATATATTGCTCCGCTAACTCCATTTCTTCCACCGAAACGGGTATGTACTTCCGGTTGGACTGGACTTCTGGTTCTGCGTTGTTCGGCTTTTCTTTCTTTCGAACTCTCGCGAGAAGTAGTCGACAGTAACGCAGGCAAACAGCATAGGCTCTCTTTGCACGATGCAAGATGGAGAAGTATTCTAATCTTTCGACCATGCTCGGCATCTCCTTTGCAGACGTCGTTAGCACGGATGCCTTCTTTACTTCCACATCATCGGGTAGAAGTTTTGTTAAGTCGCTTGGCTGATGATATTCACTCCAGTCTTCGTGTTGCTCGTACAGAAACTCTGGACCGTTGATCCATGTGGCATTATTGATGAGCTCACTTGCCTTTAGACCACGAGAAGCACCATCTGCGGGGTTTAGCTTAGACTCGACATATTTCCATTGGTTTGGAGCAGTATGGTCTCTTATTTGCTGTACACGGTTGGCGACGAAAACGTGGAAGCGTCGCGCTTCATTATTGATATACCCCAATACCACCTGGCTATCGGTCCAATAAATCTCTTCGACTTTGTCGTAGTTCAGTTCGTTCAGCAGAGTGGCGCTGATCTTGACAGAAACGACGGCGGCGTTTAATTCTAATCTTGGTATTGAGACTTGCTTTAATGGTGTCACGCGAGACTTGGCCATAACTAGTGAACAGTGGATTTTGCCCATTTCGTTTGTCAACCGCAGATAAGAACATTGGCCGTAACCGTCGGTGCTGGCATCTGAGAAATGATGAAGTTCCACTCGTTTTAAATTTCCAAACTCGTCGGGCTTGAAGCAACGTGGCACTTTCATTTGCTCAAGGAGATGAATATCGGCTCTCCATCTTTCCCATTGGGCCTTTAACTTCTCAGGAATTGGGTCGTCCCAATCAGCGTTATCTTTACATAGCTGCTGTAGTATTCTCTTTCCAATCAACAACACAGGGGCAACGAACCCAAGGGGGTCGTAGATTGAGCTCACAGTTGCTAGCACACCACGGCGAGTAAATGGCCGATCTTTCAACGTAATACGGAATTGGAAGGCATCGTTTTCAACACACCATTCCACGCCTAGTACTCGCTCTATCGGGAGGACGTCGTGATCTAAATCCAACTTCTTCACCTCAGTAGCGCGATTCTCGATGTCAATGGATTCGATAACCTTTCTTTCGTTCGACAGGAATTTATGCAGGCGGAAACCTCCCTTTCGGCACATCTCGACACTGTTCTTAACAAGTGTGGTGGCTTCTTGGACTGACGGAGTAGACTTTAAACCGTCGTCTACGTAAAATTCGTTTCTGAGAAAGGTTGCTGCATCTGAACCAAACTCTTCTTCGTTATCTTCTGCAGTAGCTTTCAGTGCTAAGTTACAGCATCCAGGAGACGACGTCGCTCCGAACAGGTGGACCTTCATCCTGTATTCCTCTGGATCCTTAGAGATATCACCGTCCGTCCACCACAAGAATCGTAGGTAATCACGGTGTTCTTCATTAACTCTAACCTGATGAAACATAGACTCAATGTCACAAGTGAAGGCTACTTTCTCTTGACGGAAGCGACAGAGTACTCCAGTAAGCGTGTTCGTGAGGTCGGGACCCTGCAAGAGATGTCGGTTTAACGATTCACCTTGATATTCTGCAGAGCAATCGAAAACCACCCTGATCTTATTAGGTTTCCTTGGGTGATAAACGCCGTGATGAGGTATATACCACGCGTAACCTTTCTTTATCATATCGTCAATAAAGTCAGCGTAATCTTTCTTGTATTTAGCATCCTTGGTGAATCGTGTTTTCAGTCGACCCAGACGTGATTCCGCAAGGCTTCGGTTGAATGGTAACCCAATGTTTTTTTCTCGAAAGGGAAGTGGCATTTCGTAGTGGCCGTCGTCTGTGATGTGAATCGCTCCCTTTGTTTTTTCTAAGAATCTTCTATCTTCTTGTGATAAGGATTTCCCTTCTCCGTTCCTTTCGGAAAAGTCCTGTTCGAACATTCTTCGTACTGCATTGGGGTTTAACACTTCCTTGGTCGGCTTACGTGAAATGAAATTTAACTCTGGAGAATCTTGAGATGCAATATCTCGAGTTTGTATTCGATGACAGTTGGAGATGTCAGTGTTGTGATGCTTCTGACTCTGATTCGTTGCGCCAATCATACCCCATCCAAGTACTGTTCGGACAGCATACGGGTCTCGTGGGTTTCCAGGGATAACATCGCGTGGTTTAATGGCTTGCACACAGTTGTTTCCAATCAGCAGCCCGATGTCAAGGTCCTCACGATATGCAGGAATCTCTTTCGCAATTGGTCTTAGGTGGCTCCAATTTCTTGCCATGTCGGCGGTAGGAATTTGATCTCGTCGTGCTGGGATCTGCTCTCTTGAAAACGACTTTGGAAGAGGAATATCAACCGATTCGTCTTCTGGTGAAATAATCAATCCACTGATTTTCTGGGTCTTGATGTCTTGAACAGTGTGCATTGTTCCTAGTTCTATAACTGTTTCAGGACCATTAACTCCCAGTTCCTTGCAAACACCGTCTGTGATAAAGCAAGAATCGCTTTGATCATCCAATACTGCGTACTTCATCACTTTCTTACTCGGGATGTCTTTATGACATATCCACACGGGTATGATCAATGAACTCGTTGGAATATCTTGACAATTCTCGCTTACGTGGCTGACTTTAGCGCAATTATGTGTTACGTGGTCTGCTTCTTTCACCTTTTCTGCGTTAGGGTTGGGCTTAGATTCGAAATGAAGAACGGTCGCGTGAGGTTTCTTGCAAGTACGACACTTGATATCTCCTTTGCACTGTCTTGCCATGTGACCTTGTTGTAGGCATGAGAAGCAAAGTCCCTTTGATTTGGCAAACTCGGTTCTTTCTTTGACCTTCTTCTTTAGGAATTCATCACAGACTTCAAGCTTGTGCTGTTTGTCGCACAGGGGACAAACATCCTGTCCTTTCTTAACAGTACCGTAACCGTGACTTTGCTCTGAGTGTTTGTATGTAGAGAAGGAACCGTACTTCCTTTTCTTATCGAATTTCTTATCGTCTTGCTTCGCATCTTTCTGGATTTCTCTCCTCTTGGATATCAGGGCTTCATGGGAGAAGACGGGATGAGTTGCGTCGGCCGCGGCTTCTTGCACGAACTCTACCAGATCATTGAAAGTGTATTCTCCATTTTTGGCTTCGACTTTCTTTGCACTTTGTGACCATTTGTTACTGTAATGGGATGGCAGTCTTGCCACCAACTCTTGTATTGCTGAGAAAGTATCGAATTCTCTGAGATATTTAACTGTTTTCATTGTTTCTTGAGTTGAAACCAAAAAATCACTTAACTCTTGGAGCTCGGCACCTTTACTGCAGATTGGCCAGGATTTTAGACGTTCATGATATGCCTCGTAGATCTTATATGGGTCACCAAAACGATCTTGAAGTATCTTTCTAGCTCGCTTGTAGGCATCTTCGGTTTGAAGACCCAACAACCCGTTTATCATCTTCTGCGCGGATCCTGAAGTGTATTCTCCGAGGTAATACAGTTTGTGGCCTGGCTTCACAGCTTCTTCTTCAATTAAGGCATCAAATGCAGAGACCCATTTAGGGAACTCAATGATGTTCCCACTAAATACTGGTGGTTTAGGGGCAGGAAGTGACATTCTCTTCATCAGTTCTATTTGCTGTCTTTGAATCTCTACACCGTCTCTTTGAATCTGTTCCATAATATTAGTGGAATGAGGGGCAGGTTGGGTTAGCTGAGATGCGGACATAGATGTGGGTTGAAATGCAGGGATTTTTGGGTCTAACTGTGTGGCAACACTACCAACGTTTGTATTTTCATTAGTATTAACTTGACTTGTTTGACCAATCCTTGGATCTTGATAACTAGTACTCGGCTGTATAGTATTTGGATTGACTGGTAACAATTCTTGATTGGTTGGTTGTTTGAGATTGGTTGAGGGTGTGTAGGGTAGGAGTGTACTTGAGTAATTTTTGCCAAGTGGAGGTGTACTTGGGTGATTGTGGATATGTGTGGATATACTTGGGTGATCATGGATAGGTGGGGATATGCTTGGGTGATCGTGGTTGGGTGGGGGTATACTTGGGTGATCGTGGATAGGTGGGGATATACTTGGGATGATTGTGGATATGTGGGGATATACTTGGGTGATTGTGGATAGGTGGGGGTATACTTGGGTAATCGTGGATAGGTGGGGATATACTTGGGCAATCGTGGTTAGGTGGGGATATACTTGGGTAATCGTGGATAGGTGGGGGTATACTTGGGTGATCATGGATAGGTGGGGATATACCTTGATAATTATGGGTATGTGTGGGTGTACTCGGGTGATCATGGTTAGATGGGGGTATACTTGGGTGATCGTGGATAGGTGGGGGTATACTTGGGTGATCGTGGATAGGTGGGGGTATACTTGGGTGATCGTGGATAGGTGGGGATATACTTGGGTGATTGTGGATAGGTGGGGGTATACTAGGATAATTGTTGCTAGATAACTTTGTGTCTTCTACAAGTGTATCATGTATTGCTACAACAGCATTAATCTCACCTTGTAGCCTTTCTTGCTCTCCTTGTCGTTCCAACTCTCTTTGAAGAAGTTGTAATTCTTCTTTCTTTCTCTTCAATTCTTGCTGCCTTATCAGGCTAGTCATCCTTTGCTTAAGTCCTGCGGCATTTGCTGCAGCTTGTCTCGATGATATTGAAGAGACTTTGGATAATTTAGAGATAGAGCTCTTTGTACTAGATTTGTGAGATCTCTGTGTCAGCATTTCAAATCTTTCTTGTGTTAAATCATTAATTTTTGTCTTAACATCTGCACAACAGTCCAGGTAATTATCACAAATACGATCAAAATATTCATGGTCTTCGTTAGGAAATTCATTATCCGAATTAAGCATTAATAAATCAGATATTTCGTTATGAAAGCGTTTTAGATTATCCATATCCATGTTCAAGCCATCCTTGCTGGCTGTTAATTTCACTATGTCAGTACATTGTTCTAGCAATAATTGGTCTATACGACTAATTCTGGCTTTCACAGCCTCACCTGCACGATTTCGTTTCTTTCTGAGGTTCTCCAGGCTCGCCGAGACAGCCTTTCTTGTTCGAGGTCGAGCTTGTTGTCCTTGTGACTCCAAACTACCTACACTCCATTGGTCCTCTTGTTTGTCTGCGACACAGACATCTTGTTCGGGTATCAGACTTGTTCCTAACCCGTCTTTTAATTCCAATGGAGCTTCGTCCTCTACCAGTTGTGTTTCTGGTTCATTGCTTTGTGTCTTTGAAGCCATTTTCTTATATTTCAGTCGAAATTTCGCTTGGGTTCTTTCTCAGTTTTCAAAATAACACATATTTTGAAAGTCCCTTCGTTGTTTACTATAATGTTCTTGTCGTTTCACGCAAATAACATGCCCACAAAAACGTTGTTTTAACTCGTAACTTTAATAGAAAGTAAAAGAAAAGGTAAACAACGGTTCCGGGCAAACCGTAGATTTCTTACATCCTTTATATCATGCTATAAATCACATTTTAAAGTCTTCGTAAATATAAAATGTCTTCTTGTTCTAAGTAAATATTTCTAGACCTCGAGGACAGTCACGTGATCTAAAGTTCGCGACGCACACGCGCGCACGCCACGCGATAGCAGTTACAATGCTCAAACAATACCACGAAGACCTAGCTCCTGTGGTTTATGACATTGTGTGCTGTAGTATAAGTCAATGTTGTTATCCATCACTCTACAAACATGCCCTAATTTCCCCTGTTCCTAAAGTGCAACCACCGAGAGACATTAACAATGATTTCCGCCAGATATCAGTCTTACCCCATCTTGCCAAGATCCTGGAAAAGATGCAGCTTCAGTTAAATATTGAAGATCTGAAAATTAAGAATAACCAGCACGCGTTTACTCAACATCGAAGCACAGTCTCTGCGTTAATATCAACTACCCAAACCTGGTTTAATGCCACTGATTGTTCAAAAACAGGCAAAATGGGGGTTCATGCGGCCTTCATTGACTTTCGTAAGGCCTTCCACCTTGTGGATCACAATATTCTTTTGAACAAATTAGCAGCTATGAACATAAATAAACCCTTCTGGTTATGGATTAAAAGTTTCCTTTCCGGAAGAGTTCAACAAGTAAATCTCAATGGTACCTTATCATCCATTGCAACATGCCCGGCCGGAGTCCCGCAAGGCTCTGTAATATCTCCCATTCTTTTTAATACCTACATTGATGATTTGGAGGACGCCTTACCAGAACAACTAAAAGTCAGTACGAATAAGTATGCAGATGACTGCACACAACACCAAATAGTGAGCGTAGATTCTAATAGTAATTTACAACAATCTATCAATGAAGTAAGTATGAGTAGTGTCGAGTATGCATCACCTGTCTGGGCGGGACTCCCTAATTACCTGCGAGATGAAATAGAGCGGGTTCAATCCAGGAGCTTAAGAATCCTTGGCCTGGAAAAAGATTACCTACCACCGTTGAACGAAAGAAGGGAAGAGGCAACTAGTCGAGAAGTTGATAGGATTATGAACGATCCAAACCATCCCTGTCGCAGTGTTTTGCCAAAATTAATTAACAATCGGTACAATTTAAGGAACATTGACCGGAATCGCAATATATCATTCTTCTCAGGAACTGAAAGGCATAAACATTCTTTTTCAGGAAGAGCTTGTAAATATGTATAAATAGTTTTAACTTATTGCAAGAACTTATTAGTTTAAAGAACTTATTAGTTTTAACTTCTTAGTTAGTTTTCTAAATTATCTTACAACAATTTGTAATATAAAGACGTATCCACAGCATATATACTTTCTTAAACAAGTAATTGTAAGTCCATTGTACTTTTTTATCTTAAGATGGATGAATAAAGCTATTATTATATTATTATAATATATATATATATATATATATATATATATATATATATATATATATATATATATATATATAATTACAATCAGGAAAACCTCAATTAGATGCACTATAACACCTCGTATTCCGTCAAAAAATACCACACTTGCGTACAATCGCCGGAGTTCATATGGTCTATATTCAACAAATTAAGGTTATGTCTTATGTTATAAGACAATAAGCCACTTTGACTCCTCCTCTACACTAATAATCAAGTTCTATAGTATTGATGATCGATTTCATGTATGGGTGCATTGTATGTTTGAATTTCGTCGAAAAAGCGCTAGATTAACGCACTGCCGCTGCAAGATTGCCAGTTGAAAAACCACGTGCTATATATATAACTCACATAGTATGAGCCTCATTAACCACGTGCTATATAAGCTTAATTCGTTGAATATAGACTATATGAACTCGGCAATTGTTTGCAAGCGTGGTATTTTTTGACGGAATACGAGGTGTTATAGTGCATCTAATTGAGGTTTTCCTGATTGCAAGATATATATACAGTATGTGGTTTCTTTAGTTGCCTCCCGCCTGGTCATCTTGCTACACACTTGATTTTAGCTCTCATCATAAACCGACAATATTATTTAGATGCGCGCACAGCGTTCACACTATTATGTAATATGTATTGGCATCAAGATGGACATATTAAATTCTACGACGTATTGTATATACTGATAATATATTACCAAGATCTGCTAGTTCGACTCACCAAGTATTAAATTATCGCATGCAGAACAATATGTTGCATAAGTATAATAATAATATCTTGATAATAACATATTTTGCGGTTATATGATAAGATTCCAAGATTCCAGGATTCCAAGATTCCAAGATTCCAGATTCCATGTTTTACAGCTTACCGTTTTGCGAAGCGTTTGTGGTTGAATTTCACATTAAATTGAAGAGTATATTACGCATGATAGCGTTTAATAACATACCTAACATATATATTAATTTTTGGAAAATTGATAATTTTGTGATTAAAAATGACGTTTTTAGGGATTTTTCAATTTTAAAAACATTCTTAATAAAATTATCGTGTTACCATGGCAACTACTTCAAATACTTCATGTTCGGAAAATATAATAGTTTGCCAGCAAGGCGAGGGGTCTCTGCGTGCATGTATTTTCTAATATACAGAATAACTAGGCAGTATGATCCCGAAATATATTTTAGCCGTCTTGACCTGGTAGGTCAGTTGGTAGAGCATCGGACAAAAAATTTTCCAACCGTGGTATTATACAGGGCTTCTGGGCTTCAGGCTCTGGGCACGATGTTGAATTTGTTTTTAATACGAATTAACATCAGGACTGTTTAAGAAAAAGTGTTCATGATCAGTTGAACGAAATGACTTGGGCAAGATAAATTGTTGACCAACGTATTTATTTTTATTATATATGTCCTAGTTCAATCTTGGCTCACACCAGCACAAGGGCATAACGAATGAAATCAACCAACGAGGCAACACCCTGCATCAAAAGACTTTTTCCTTTTGCGGTTGGATAGTCAGCGAAAACATCCATGGTTTGGGCTGGACAGGTAACATCATGAATTGTGGGATGTTTAGTGTGATAATTAATTTTATGCGAAATACACGGACAAACATTTACTCACCGTTGCACTTTCAATGACTTGATAGAACGTCCATTCTCCATTTTCTGTATCTATATCTCGCGTTTTATTGCTGATTTGACAATTTGGTGCATGGTTGTATGATTTTGCTCTGTAGTTGTAACCAACGCATGATCGTTTTTGAACACATTTCAAGGAACATTCGACTTTGGAATGGACAATGTAACTGGCTATAATATCGTCAGGTGCCAATGAGTCGCCTAATTATAAATTTTTAAAAAATAATCTGTAAATGCATTAAACTTTTACCTAGAACGAACTGCAAGAATTGACCTGAAATTGACTTTCTTACATTTCTGCGCAAATTAAATAATGTGAAAAGCGGCTTTTCAAAGTTGTGACATGACCATAAACACACAAATCTAGAGTTAAAGTTGCATTTCGCGGTGCGTGTACTCTCAAACTTGGGAGAGGCAGCACCCCAAAAATGGCGAATAAAATCCAGAGTGAGAAAGTGATAGTTTCAGATTCGTACAAATTCGATGGCAAATTTGGGAGGAAAATTGTTAGCAGACAGTGTTGCGTATCTTGCAAGAATCTATAAAGCTCTATATGTGACTATATGTCTCTCAATGAATTAAGTTGTCAAGATGTTGTCAAGCATTCTGAAGTCAATATTTGACACTGTCAAAAGGTGATTGATTAACACATTTAGATTTTTCTCCACAATGCAAAAAAAGCAGTTTCAGAGACCCCAAATTTTCCCCCAGAGAAAACGGAACTCTTAGAATTTGAATCACAAATTCGGACTCACAAAGTGCCCCCAATAAAATCCTGGGGGCATCACTGTTCAATTCCAAGGAAAATGGCCAGTCCGAACTCGAGTATTTCAAAACATCAGCTGGCGAGGTATACGCGTGTAGCTAATTAATTTAATGTCATAAATTAATACTTGGCAGCTCAATATATATATATTAATCATTTATATTATGTAAAAAATGATTTCTTAATTATAGGCCGCGGTATACATAGTGAGAAAGCTATATAGTGCATGCAGAAAGAAGAAACAACGTTTAATATAAAATTTAGTAAAGAAAATTGAAATAACTTAATTGACAAAAAAATTAATAAAAAGTGTGTATACATAGCCGATTTTTCATTCAGCCTGCTTTCTATAGTTACGCATTTTACCATTCGTATACGAGTATAATATGCACGGAAAACTGTTTGAAATCCTTTAGCTAAATGTTATAATTACTTACGAAATAATTAAATGAATAAATTAAAGCTCAGCATTTAGCTAGTTTTGTGTATGATTTAACGTGTGTTTGTTGAGGTAATTAAAACTTATATATATTTCAGAAGTATTAAAAATTTTCCGTGTGTATATACGTGCGCGTATAAAAAAATTTAAAAACCCGCTTATAATTGGAAACCATCCTTAAAAGCAAGCTAGAATTGTGGAGTTGGGTAAAACTGAAGCCGCAAGTTCATGTTTTTTATCCTTGTCTTGATCTAGGTCATTATGCTTTAGTTCAGTTCTTGCAATTTCGTTGTGAGTTATTCTTCCATGTATGCGTCCATATACCCGCGGTGCAATACATTTTGATATTGTTTCAAAGCAATATATAAAATATGCTTACCCTGATCATTTATTCTCTTGAAATACCTTTGATTTTCTAAAGTGGAATCAAAGCAGCAACTGCGGTTTGGAATTGTGAAGAAGAAAACCAAAATTTTCAGCAACATTAAAGGCCGCATTATCATGATGGAATTCATCGTTACTACTAGCGCTCACATCAATGAAAGGGAGTTATATATTATAATCAAGCAATATCGCAGCTGCAATACGCTTATGTTGAACTTACATGCAGACAGTATATAATTATATAGGATTTGACATCAGCTGCAATCGAATGAGCACTAAAATCGTTTGCTCAATATAATTTATGAGTATATAATAACGTGACTTGTGAATGATTAATGCATGATTAAATATGATTGAACAATTATATACTCATATACCTAAATTGATATACCTCTTACTATAGTCGCGCTAATGACTTTAAATTAATTAAGGTCAAGCCTGGTCTGCATAATACTTGCATGCGTTATGCCACAGGCGGCCCAATCTTGCAAGGGTCAGTATAGTAATGTATATTATAGAAAAGTATGTCAAAAAATATACATTTTAAAACAAAATTTACTTTACTTTATTCCTCTTTTGTTGGACTAATATTTTCCAAGATTTTGCACTCGATGGTTGCGGCCGCTACTAGTATAGATAATACATGATAAAGGCGTCTTGTTTTCACTTAAATATTAGGGAGCTTTAGCAGCGACAACGAGTACGACAACGAGTACGAGATTGAACGAGATTTGCTCGCGTGCGAGGAAATCACTGTATATAGTCGTTCTCGCTTCCGTTCAAATGTTGCTTTTATAGTAGTAGACAAACAACGAAAGAAAAAGTTCATATATCTAATATATATATAAAAAGTTCATACTAAATCTCCTGCGGCCAAAATCCCCTACAAAATGTGCAAATAAGTCATAACATTAAAAACAAGCCAGATATTTAATACTAATAGATTATTTGCGCCGGATAAACGCTACAAATTATTTTTGAAAAACAAAAAAAGCCAGCTTTCTTTGTTTTTTTGAAAAGTCGTAGTGAGGACTACGATATTTATCCACAATTTCGTACTCAGATGGGCGACGGCTATGACTTTTTCGCGTCAGTTCGGGATGGCGTAAGCATACAGCGTGCGTTTCGCTTGACAAATCACGTGCTCGTAGTCGTACTTGCCGCTAAAACTCCTTATTATCCCCGATCCAACGGCGCGGGGAGCTGTTCCGAGCGTAAAGCCTGCTTTCCACCAGGCGCTATTTACCGCGCGGAGCGGAATTTTTCTTTGTCTATTCTAATTAGTTCCACCCGAGAAATCACAAGAGAAAGAAAAATTCCGCTCCGCGCGCAAAATTCCGCCTGATGGAAAACCGGCTTAAGCCCGGGGTTGAGAGTACTATATAGCGGAGTGTGACGTTCATCAAACATCGCGGGCGTCTGGCTATGATCCAACAGTGGACCTCCCACTGATCTCAAAAGTATGGTGATTTGTCATGGAAATGGCGAACATTGAATGGTCAAATTTAAATTTCGCTTTACGATGACTGAATACGACATCATAATAACAGACTCCGTTTGAAAATATATCTGCTTTTTAAAAAATGTTGCAAGTTTGCTAACTTTTTTAGACGGGTACTTATGAGATATTTAAAAAAATAGGGAGCTTAAGATACACCAAATCTACGACGCGGACGTGACGAAAAACTTCCGCTATTATCACAGGTTCACTTCACGGGTAAAAACTATGGACTGTTGTTTGTAAACAAAGCCAGGGACACGAGAGAAACAAAGTAAAACTAGTCTTCCATTATTAGCCACTGTTTTTTAATCGCGTTTGCGTCGCAGATTTGGTGCATCTTAAGCTCCCTAATAAAACAAATAAACTAGAAAATACATGCATGCAGAAACCCTCGCCTTGCTGACAAAACTATTATATTTTCCGAACATGAAGTATCTAGAGCAGTTGTCATGGTAGTTGTCATGGTAACACGATAATTTTTTAAGGATATTCTTACAAATCTCCTAAAAATATCACTTTTAATTACAAAATTATCAATTTCCCAACATATATATGTTAGGTATGTTATTATACGTAATATAGGCTTCAATTTAAGATAAAATTCAACCACAAACGCTTCGCAAAACGTTTTAAAGTGTTCTTTATAAAACTAAACAGCAATTTATAATTAAATGGCTTTATCGATAAGGCCACTACAAGTTAATCTTTAGTTTCTGGTCCGCCGCCCGCGTCCTTTCTCCGTAAAGTATTATTTCAGGACTATTTTGTCATTTACGATTAATTTCTAGTTCTTGAAAATTTTCGCGAAGGATTTAACTTATAGAACGATAAATATTCAATTTACACTAAAAAGACCTAGCAAAATGTAGTATTGAATGGTAAAAACAGCTGCCTTATCGAGAAAACTAAAGATTAACTTGTAGTGGCCTAAACTTTGAGTTTGCAATAAAATGATTTCAAATTCTCGCTTGCAAATAACTTTGCTTTCTTTTTTATTTAAAAAATTCAATATAATAAAAAAGGGAATCAATATTAAATATACACTGAAGTTATAATGCTGTCTTGTTTTATAGTTATTTCATATACGCAAAGGCTGTCGGGTTTTAAATCCATTATAAAATCAATATTTAAAACAAACTTACCTTCGTTAACGTCGGCTCCCTTCTTTTAGCCGATTCTTTCGCCCTTTCTTTATGAGAAAACTTTTGAAATTTACAAAATCTTGCAAAAATGCGAGCAAAAAATTCATCAATCATCAAATCAAGAAATGTTTGCTATTTCGCTGTCGTCATGCAGTCGTTATAATGCAAACTTTAAATTGGACCAATCAGTGTCCGCTATTCATGACAGTCCGCTATATATTTGAGATCAGTGAGGATGACCACCCACGGTTGGTCACCCACGCCCGCGATATTTGATGAACTTTAGACTCCGCTAATGCTTTCGTTTCCCCGGGTGTAAACAGCCGGGGGGAATTAGTACCCTTGCACAGCGCTTCGCGCCTTTGGCTCGGGGAATATTGAACCAAACGAAAACCAGCAAGAAGGCGGGGGGGGGGGGAAGCAAATACGTTGACACACAATAGACTACACAGAAGTCCGACTTCTTGGTTTTCCTATGATTTTCTAATGATTTTGGCGTAACCGTAATTCGGCTTCAAAACGCTGACACCATGGGCCTAGCAAGTGCGCGTTTGAGAGGTACTCACCCCCTGAATATATTCAAAATGGCGCACGTCCAGGGGGGTAATGCGGGCCCCAGCGTTTCCACTTGGAAGGAAATTTCCTCCAGAAGGAAATTTGGGCCTTTGGAAGGAAATTTGGAAGGAAATAGCATTTGGAAGGAAATTGGGAGGAAATATTGTTATAAGGAGGGAAATGAGAAGGAAATTCTATTTTATCTCATACAATTTTGTGCAAAAGAAGACTCTGAAAATGCCATTTCCAACGATCTAGAGACTCCATATTTTCAAAATTTTCAAAATTTTCAACCGTATTGGGTTGTGGGCCCCCAAAGCGAGATCTCCCTTTTTTTCCCCAAAGTTGGCATCTAGCTAGTATGTATCTAAGACAGGACCCCAGAATCGCTATGTTGAAATAACAACCAAACCTCGTGCCCAGGGTATTATTTCTCGGACTCTACGTGGCGTAGGCAGGAAAGATCCTAGGGGTTTCTTGTGTGTGTGTGTGTGTGTGTGTGTGTGTGTGTGTGTCCAGTAGGAGAGATGCAAGAAACAGTTATGGAATCTCTTTTCGCACCCACAGCAAGTAGCCCCCAATTATTATGCTTTTTGTCCCCCCGGGGCGAAGACCTTCTGTATGTCTTTATTCTGTGACGCCGACGAGACTGAAAAATATTATTCAGAAACCCAAAAATTGTCAATGAGACGTGCAGCCAAACAGTTTATTTGATTGAATAGATTGCTGCAACTCGTAAAATCTCGTCGTCACGTTGCCATTTTGTATTTTTCTCATGTATAGTGTCCTGTGACGTAAGTAGTAACGACAGGAACACTGAGGACATTAATGATGCTTGGGGGGTATTATGGGTACTGAGTAGTTCTAGTTTGCATGTTGTTTAAAAAAGCAGAGTGAGAATATATGAACGATATTGTGCGTGTTTTATACATTATAACTGGCGACGAGGATAAAAGAATCTCATGGCAAAAGTTTTAGATTTGCCTGCTGTACCACCATTCTCTGTATCGCATCACAGAACCCTTGCTCAACGATGGGAAAAGTGGACAAAGTCTCTCGATTATTATCTCCGTGCGTCTGGAGTAACTGATCAGAAACAAAAACGTGCTGTTTTACTACCCCTTGCTGGCCCTGATGTACAAGAAATCTTTGAAACCCTGCCTAACACTGGCGATGATTATAAGACTGCCCTCGAGAAACTTAATGAGTATTTTCAACCGAAAAGAAATATCCCATTCGAGCGCCATGTTTTTCGGCAAGCTTCCCAACAGCCTGACGAATCAATGGACGTATAATTTGTCACTCGATTACGTACTTTGAACAAAACATGTGTTTTTGGTGAACAAACAGAGGAAGCTATTCGTGATCAAGCAATTGATAAATGTGTTTCAAAAGAACTTCGCCGTCGTTTACTTCGCGAACCTAACATCGACCTCTCGAAGCTATTGACAATTTCCCGCGCATTTGAACAGTCTCATTTTCAAGCTTAAGAAATGGAACAGCCCTTTACGCAACCTAGCGATTCTGGTGTAACCAATTGATTCTGGTGCAACCGTAAACATTGCGGATATTGACACATATTATAAGTTACGTACACTTAGAAAAGTTGAAATTATGCCCTCTAACATTCGGTTGTTTACATATGGTTCAACAATTCCATTGAACATCTTGGGGACAATAACTGTCAAAGTTGAACGCAATGGAAAGCAAATTCTTGCCCAGTTTGTAGTAGTCAACAACCGAGGAACAGGGTGCCTTTTGGGTCATAAATCTGCTACAGAACTAGACCTTCTGCATGTTGCCAACTCAGTTTCCATACAGTCTGAAGACATTTCTTCAAAAATTTCTGCTAAATTTCCCAAAGTCTTTGAAGGTGTGGGCAAACTAAACGATTTTCAACAAACTATCCATGTTGATCCCAAAATTCATCCTGTTGCCCAAGCACCCCGCCGTGTCCCATTTCATGTTCGCCGCAAAGTAGAAGCCAAACTAGACGAGCTACAGCGCTTAGACATCATTGAGCCAGTCACTGGGCCAACACCATGGGTGTCCCCCTTGGTTGTAGTGCCCAAGCCAAATGGGGAGGTCCGTATCTGTGTAGATATGCGTCAAGTCAACACAGCAGTTATCAGAGAAAGGTACCCAATTCCCACCGTAGAGGAGACTTTACAGGATTTAACTGCTGCATGTGTCTTCTCAAAACTCGACTTAAGATGGGGGTACCATCAGATTGAACTTGACGAACAATCAAGGCATTATACAACATTTGCTACACACACCGGTCTCTATCGCTACAAGCGCCTTATGTTTGGTGTTTCTGCGGCACCAGAAATATACCAACATGTGATTCAACAATCTCTCCAAGGGTGCCCTGGATGCGAAACATCTCGGATGACATAATTGTTTTTGGGAAAACCAAACAGGAACATGATCATAACCTTAACACTGTCTTAGCAACACTCCAAGAGTGTGGTCTGACTCTCAATAGAGACAAATGCAAATTTAGTGTTTCTGAAGTCACATTTTTTGGGTATACCATTTAGGCAAATGGTATACGACCCACCGATGAGACTGTGACTGCCATTCGAAATGCCCCAAAGCCATCCAATGACTCAGAGGTCAGAAGTTTCTTGGGTCTTGTGAACTACTGCAGCCGGTTTATCCAAATTTCTCCACCGTAGCAGCCCCACTACGACAGCTCACACACAAAGGTGTACCAATTACATGGACCAAACTCCACCAAAATGCATTCGAATCCTTGCAGAAAACTCTTACTAGCAATTCCGTCATGGTACATTTTGAACCCAGTGCCCCCACTCAGCTTCGTGTTGACGCCAGTCCATTTGGCCTGGGGGCTATATTAACCCAAACTCATGGCGATGAAACCAGACCAGTAGCCTATGCAAGTCGCACTCTTACAGCCGTTGAGAGGCGTTATTCTCAGACTGAGCGTGAGGCCTTGGCGGTTGTCTGGGGATGTGAACGGTTCCACCTCTATCTATATGGGACAACCTTTGACATCTATACAGATCACAAGCCTCTTGAAATTATCTACAGTCCGACGTCAAAACCCCCTGCGCGCATTGAACGGTGGGGCCTTCGCCTGCAACCGTATAAATTTTGCGTTAAGTGTTCACCTGGAATTGGTAATCCTGCGGATGTACTTTCTCGTTTGCCACTTCCCAATGCAACAACCACTACACGCAACACGGCTGAAGAATATGTCCAGTTTGTCGCTCAGTATGCAGCTCCCAAGGCCCTGTCTCTTAGTTCAATAAAAGAAGCTACCAACCAAGATCCAGTTCTTCAATTTCTTCGCGAGTGTATCATGAAGAACAATTGGCCCAAGGTTAGTATGACACGTCCATATTATGGTATCAGACACGAACTGACTGTTATTGATGACATTATCCTTCGCGGGTCCCGTATCTTGATGCCAACGTCTCTCCGAGAACGAACTTTGAAACTAGTCCACGAAGGGCATCAGGGCATCGTGAAGACAAAACGACTGCTAAGAAAAAAGGTCTGGTGGCCTGGCATTGACCAAGCCATAGAACAGCTAATTCGTACGTGCATTGCATGCCAAGCCCAAGGTCCAGTATCCACACCACCGCCCCTTCACATGACGACTATGCCAAGTCGGCCATGGCAAATTCTACATGCCGATCTGTGCGGGCCGTTTCCCAGTGGAGAAAGTCTTCTCGTCATGGTAGATACCTGCTCCCGTTGGCCAGAAGTATATGTTATGAAGAGTACTACGTCCACAGCTATCATAAAATGCATGAAGACCACATTTGCAACCCATGAAATCCCGCACGAAATTGTTACTGACAATGGACCACAATTCACCTCCGCTGAGTTTGGTACATACCTTTCCAATTGTGGTATTGTACACCGTAAAGTCACACCTTATTGGCCCCAGGCAAACTCCGAAGTAGAACGTTTTAACCGAACTGTAGAAAAAGCAATACGTGCAGCGAACGTCGAAGGGAAAAATTGGAAAGAAGAACTTGATGTTTTCCTACTGAATTATCGTTCAACTCCCCACTGTACAACGGGGAAACCACCTGCCATTCTCCTTTTTGGCCGTAACATTAGAAATAAAATACCCGTGCCACCAGCATCGACACCAGCTGATGACATACCAGTAACAGTTCGTCAACATGATCGCGAAAGAAAAGAGAAAATAAAGTCTTACGCTGATGACCACAACCGAGCTTCATCGTCCGACGTGAAAAAGGAAGATACGGTGCTTCTCCATCAACCTTGGCAAACAAAATTGTCGACGACCTATGATCCGAAGCCGTACATTGTCGAAGAAAAGAAAGGGCCCAGTGTGCTACTGAAACGACCCTTTGAACGACAGATTATGAGAAATGAAAGTATGATACGTAAGATTCCTGATGGAAAAGACTTCGCGGATGCTAAGAAAAGAGGACTCCAAAATTGCGGACAACAGGTCAGCGAAGAGAAGAAACATGAAAAGCAGAACGAGGTCAGTATAAGACCAAAACGGGCTAGACAGCCACCGGACTATTACGGACAGAGCTGATTGAACTTAACAATAATATTCGTTTATATTAACTGATTTCTTTATATTTAATAGTCCAATAAGACTGGTTGTGTTTTGTAAATATTAGACAAGTGCATTGACACTAACTCCAGGTAAAAGGAGGGATATAGTGTCCTGTGACGTAAGTAGTAACGACAAGAACACTGAGGACATTAATGATGCTTGGAGGGTATTATGGGTACTGAGTAGTTCTAGTTTGCACGTTGTTTAGAAAAGCAGAGTGAGATTATATGAACGATATTGTGCGTGTTTTATACACTATATCATGGACAATGGTCAAAGGTATATATGCTGCCAGATTCGATCAAGTAGCGATAATTCGAAATTTAATAGTGACATTCAATGAAACAGCCGTTGGCCTTGGGGACGAGTCGGCAGAGACGAAATCAACAAGAGTGGTTTGATCTCACGGAGGCAGGCTTGATATTGTAAGTATTCCACTTGTTCACCCAGGAGTAATTGATTAACCATGTTAAAGTGCTTGTGCATGTAACCAAATAGGAATCACTCGTGGTCATTCGTGGTCACTCGTGGTCACTCGTGGTCATTCGTGGTCACTCGTGGTCACCCGGGGTCATCCGTGGTCACTCGTGGTCATTCGTGGTCACTCGTGTGTACTTTTCGACAAGACCGGCATACACTGGACAGTATACATGTGATAAAACCCTGTCTAGACGGCCTGGCGTCAAGGATAATGATTGGATAATATTTTTAGAATACGATGCATTAAGCCATTATACATTTTTTGTATTCTTTATCCGAACCAGGAATCGCTAACAAATTCACCAGAGGTTTTTCCTTTTTCTTCGCGCGTTTACTCGCATTTCGCGTTCGTCAAACCTAAAAAAACCTCTGGGCCAGGGTAAGGCTGAACTGTATTCAGGTGGAAATTTGCACGATAAGTATTCATTGAGAAAGAAAAAAGTGATAATTATGTGCATACTTTCAAAAAGTTAATGGTGTCCGGTCGTATATGGGCGTTTCTAAATGCAACCCTATTTTATGTACGCTATAGCTGTTACATACAGCTGGTGTGTATAAAAATAGCTGAACAGATTTGAAATTGCTCTTATTTTCGCAGAACAGCTACTAGTATCCAGTTTTTGATATATATAGCTTCTTTGATACTTATAATGCAGAAAATTGGAAAAAATTCCAGGGGAGTGTCTCATTCAACAAACTAAAAATGGTTTACGCACGACTTTGAAAAACTTTAATCGTATTTTAAGTTATAGGTGAACAATGTGTTGGGTGTTTAATTGCTGCACGAAATTCAGACAATATGCCTCAGTTTAAGCCCTTTAACTATTCACGCAAACATACATTTTTTTCCTAAAAAGCCTCTTGGTGCTTAATTAACGCCTTTGCCTAATTTGCATATAACATCAATATGCAAATTAGGCAAAGGCATTAATTAAGCATGTAAAAAGCTGATTTTTAAGGAAAAATGAATAGTTAAAGGCTTAGACTATTGTTAAATTAATATCTGAAATTTTGTACAGTAACTAAAAATCCAACAAAGGGTCCATCCATTAATTAACTCAAAATACGATTAAAGCTTTTAAATTTCGTGCGGAAGTCATTTTTATTTTGTTGGAAAAGAAACACCCCCTGGTTTACAAAATTTGAGTTCTAGTATTTTTTCATTATTCTAGATTATGGGTACTCAAGGAATCTATATATAACAAAAACTTGATACCACGAGCTGTTTTTCGAAATTGAGAGCAATTTCAAATCTGCTCAGTTGTTTTTTATACACCCTGTATAAGAGTAATAACTGCACCAAAAGCACGAAAATGTGAAAAGTTAATTAATTTATTTGTTGATATTATAAACTGATATTTTCGTGAATTAAACAATGGATTCATATTGACTGTTCAGCATGAGCTCGATCTTTGAATTTACTACATGAGTAAAATTGTTAAACACATCAATTAATACAATAAATTCGCGACACATGTTGAGCTCTAACCGTAACTCTAAACCCTAACCCTAGTGTAATCTTAATCTAACCCTAGTCTAATCTTAATTTGACACTAATCTGAGCTTGATGTCTTTTTTAATAATCGTATAGAACTTTGCGTTTCACTCGTGTAAGTTTTGCTAATTTATTTATTCAAAAAAAGTTTAAAAAGTTAAAAAAGAAAAAAAAAGAAAAAAACAACTTTATAAAGTTACATTTTGAAAATGGCGTTAAAAAAAGTTAGATTAGGGTTAGGGATTATGGACAATGGTGTAGTGGAGGGGGAGGGGGGGGGGGGGCTCGGGGGGCTGAGCCCCCTTGTTAAAATTTCATGTTCACTTGGGGGAGCTGAGCCCCCCTGCAATTTTTGCACGTTGCATAATCTTAACTGTAAACGAGAATGTTCTTTAGAATTTTCATTTTCGGTCATCGTTAAATAATGATTTCTGTAATCTTTACTTAATCGCGTTGTTCATTGCACTAACATGAAGTAATTCCACACTGTGGCTATTATAGCCGCTGGTATAAGACATTGAATATTGTTTCTGCTTTACATGTAATTAATAAACACAAAATTATTAAACCAAGCGAGACATGCATAAAACATGAAAAGTAAATCAGTTTCACCTTCGAAATAACTACTATACACATGGCACATATCGTATTTCCTTTAATTGCGAATATTTACTGAATAATTAAATCGAGTATGTTAAATTCTTAAAATGCGATTTTAATTAGTATTCATGCACGCATATCTATTCGTAAAAAAGCATTTTATTTTTATGTAGAATCTGATAAATTATTAATCAATAAACTTTAACGTTTATTCTTTACATTTCAATTGTGTATAACACTATAATTCTATTTTTTGCTGTTTTAATTTCTTATTTCTTTAATTTTTGTTTTAATTTCACAGTTTTAGAAGAAAAATCAACTTATCAACTTATATATTAGTTGTATTATTATACTGCCATGATCGTTTGAGCTGAGTTTTACTTAAAAAAACGATCATTTAAAAAAAAAAAATTCTAACAAACCCACAAATTGAGAGAATATGTTGAAGAATTGTGGTTGACGTATCCGTCAGTACCAAAATCATAACCATTTGCAGAACTGAACTTTGCTTCATCTTCCTCGGTTATTCCAATACCATGATCTGCTCTGCCACAATCATTTCCTCCTCCACCAATCATCATCACTGCACCATCACCACGCCCCCAATTACACCAAAATCCAATGTAGCCACTATTCTGTATATCACTGTTGCAACTGTGATGTTCAAAACCTGCTATAGATTCGTACTGACCGCCGTAAATAACTGGACAACTTCCAAGACATCGATTATTTGCCCAGACTGAACCATTACGAAAGTTTCCAAAACTTGTGATTTTCGATCGAAATGTTCTACCTTTAATAAAAGACAATGCTTAGTACTTTAGGTAACATTCAAATATTAGACAACAGAGTTTGAGTGCTTTAGTTCGCATGAAAGTATTTTATAGATCCCTGTTATTATGCAGTTTATTTTTTTATATTCTTGTGAACGGCGCGTTTGGAATACTTAGCTTTATTAATTTGGCCAGGCCAGCGTGTGTAAAGGAAGCGTATCTACCCACCTTCCCACTATATCTACCACCCACCTATAATTAAATTATATCCACCTACTGTGTATATCTACGTACCTTGAAGACAGTTGGAAGTGGTCTGTAGTAATGCTGTGTGAGTGGAATCATCACTTCTTGTAATCTTCATTTCGTTTCCTTTCAATTCCCAGAAGGCTGCAGAAATCATATCCGTATTGCTTGATAAGTTATTTTCTTCTCCATATGGTGTGACTCGGTCATACCAAAAAGAATCATCGCTAATCCATTGTTCAGAATCGGCGTTGGAGAAGCGTGCGACTAAAATCCAGGCTTTCTTCGTCTAAAATAAAGAAAATCTAAGTCATATACTTGTAGTGTTGGTACGATCGCATTTATTAAACAAATGATGAATAATAATTTTATGAGCGTGATGTCAAGGCTGGTTCACATATGCGTACGACGCTCGCCGGTGACACGTGCCGGCACCAAAATTATCGTCTGTACGCCGGGCTACCGGGGAACAAATGTTGACCTGACGTTGATGAAAATGTTCCGCCAAAGACAATCATTTTGGGTTATGAACCTCTCATAATTTCTGGGAAGGGGACGGGGAGAGGGGGGCTTTTGCCGGCGGCGAAAAATTGGCGAACCATAATTTATATAAGGTAAGACGTTTTCGCAACCTAACAGATCTTCCTGACTAAAATAAATATTGGGGTGTGGTGTACCCCTACGAAATACGGGTATTCAGGATTATTGCGGGAATTTATTACCATTTTGTCGAGTTGTTTCGCCGGTTTGTCAACAGTTGTTCAAGCTTGCTTGCGGGCAGCTTGTTTGTGGTAGTATTGCCACTACATCGCATGCAGGCATAACACAGGTATATGTGAACCAAGCATTAAGAATATTTCCAAGATGTAGAAGATGGGACGACAGCCGAGGAACCATTAATACAGAACATTTTGGAACATTGATTAATTTTGGTTCCATTCAAGAATAGATCTCCTAATCTTTTTCCATATAGAAATTTTTGTTTACGATATTGAGATATGATTTATTTTTACTTTAATTAAATTATGTTCAGATACGAAATAGCGCATTCTCATTAGAGAAACAATGAAACTCTAATGGTGGGGAAATTGCAATAACAAGCCAGGGAGATCAATTGGGTTTCTTTGTAATATTACAGATTATGTTTGCCATTGCACGAGCGAAAATATTCACTAATCTTTGCTTTTATAATATACAGAAAGAACTTTCTTCTTGTATCTTTCAGGTAGTTGCACCCGCATATATTAATCCAAATTTATTGGCTCTACCTACTCTGGCACAGACCGTCTAAGAAATCCTAGTCAGTGGCGACTATAACCATAGCAACTGCAGGTCATGCAAATGCAAATATTTAAATATTTGTATTATTCAAACCTATTGAAATCTATTGTCTTTCAAGTATTTTGGTTCAGGTTTATTAACGTCCAAGGCTTCGGCTGAACACGTGATAACATGAATACTAGGGTGTTTAGTATGATATTTCATGCGAAATGCACAAAAATTTATATTTCAACAAACATTTTACTCACACTTTCCATTAGTAGATAGAACGTCCATTCTCCATGTTCTGCATCTATACCTCGTATTTTATTGCAGATTTGACAATTGGTGCATCGTTGTATGATTTTTCTCTGTAATTGTAACCAACACATGATTGTTCCTCGACACATTTCAAGGAACAATCAACTTCGGAATCGACAATGTGGCTAGCTATAATATCGTCAGGTGCCACTGAGTCGCCTAAATTTTTAAAATTAATTTGTAAATGTACGATTAAAATTGTAATCCAGGCACCTATATCCGATGGTAAGAATTTAACTAAAATATAGACTTTCTTAGTTTTCTGCGTTAATTAAGGGCTGTCACGCGGATCCATACCCGCTATATTTAAGGGGTGTTGTCCTTCCGCGTCAGAGAATGTAGACAAAAATTTAAGAAACGTGAAAAGCGAGTTTCCAAAGTTGTAATAATAAATTTAACATTATGCGCAATTAATTACTTACAGTGATAAAAAGTCGTATTTCGTGGTGCGTGAACTTTCAAACTTCGGAGAGGCAATACCCGGCCGCCTAAAAATGTCGAATAAAATCCAGCGTGATAAAATTTCGAGCCTAATTTGCCGAGAATTTGTCCTTGGGTTTTGCTTTCTTGGGGATTTTTTTCCGAGAAAATTTTTTTTGAGAAATCACAAAGATATAGATCTGGACAGAGTTTATAAGATCTGTCTTGTCTTTTATATCAAGAATACAACTTACGAGCCCCTGTCCAAGTCTCATACTTTCTTTCAGTCAATACGTCATGTATGGGTAAAATAAACATTTTCAAATTCGTAGTCTTAGAAATTATTAAATTTAAGTGCGATCCATGTTAAAACTAAGTTAGTAGTGAAAAATATGAAAATATTTAAAAAGAAATGGGAATTATAATGTTTTATTCAAAATGTATATTAGAAAAGACTTCTAAATACGGATATAAAAATGTTCTAAGATCCATGTCCGAACGGTTTTGCAGGTTTGGCTTCTTCAGTGATAAAATGGAAAGCTAGCCTTTAATTTTAAAATCGCTCATCCGAGCGATCTTTTTTCTGGGTTTTTTTAGTGTTGTTTTTCGGCGTCAGAGAGTGAGACTTATATACAATTTCAATCTAAAAAACGTGAAAACCGATAAGGATAAATTTCTTGATCAATCATACCGTTGTGTATAGTGTGACCGTGGGCCTTTAAACAATAAGTTACATGGGCAAAACTAAAGCTACAAAGTTCACTGATATATTTTTATTCTTGTCCTGCACTATAAGTATAAGAATAATGTCATAATGCTTTTGATTTTCTTGTGTTTGCGTTTAGAAGTTGTTAGGGATCTTATAATTAAGCAAATGAAGTTTTTATCAACACAGGCGTCAGATTGCGAAGGGGGACTGAAACTAAATGTATTTCTGTCAGTTTATAGAAATCTTTCGTACATATATGCGAAACATAATTAAGATTTTTATAGTTTTTTTTATTCCTTACATGCTATACTAACTTTCGGGTGACGTCCGTTTTGACAAAAAACGTTTGCAATCTTTTTCCAAACGCATACTCGCGGTGCAGCGCCGTTTGCATGATATTGTTTCGAAGCAATATATTAAATTATAATTACCGTAATCATTCGTTTTCTTGAAATACATTTGGCTTTCTAAGGATGATTCTATCCTACAACTGCTTGGAGTTTTGACAAAGAAAACCAAGATTTTCAGCAACAATAGGAACCGCATTATCGTCATGACATGCATACGCCGTTACTACTATGGCGCTCACATTCGTAAAAGTAGCAAAAAGGCAATATCGCAGCTGCAATGCGCTTGTGTTAAATAAGTTACATCCGTGGGAATTGAATGTGTATTAAAAGAGTATAATAACATGACATGAGAGAGATCAATTATGATTGAAAAGTCCTATACTCTCATATTTCAATATATACCTTCTATTATAGCTGTCAATAACTTTAAGCACATAATAATATAGTTCACATATCATGCCTGCGTTACGCCCACGACTCAGCCACAACATCCTAACCGAGGCAAACGGCTCGGACGCAACTCCACGGTTTGACTGGCTATACGAATTCCTACCAAATTCTGAATGTTCTTCTTTTGACATTTCCAGTTAAATCAGTCAACTTTTTCGGCATAACATTTTAATATCCAGTATTGTTTGTCTGCATAAATGGCCAAATTTCTCACGACGTATACCCATGCAATAAAAAAAAATAAGGAGCGGGGGAGGAAGGGAAAGCGGGGAGGGGTCAGGTTCTCTCCAAATATGTTGTAGTTGAAAAATTTATACTTATGCAAAGTTTACACGTATAAGATACTGTACATCGGCAAAATCTTGGGGGAAATTAAAAAAAAAACAAGTTAGACATATAGAAGATAATAGTCGCATGACCAGAATTCACGGACAAAATTATTCTACTTCCTTGACTGATTTGCATGCCATCGATGCATAACCCTCGGGAAAGCAGTGTGTTTTGTGGCCCCTCGACCGCCGTTGTTGGCCTCGGCTTCGCTTCGGGCAACAACAGCGGTCTCGGGTTCACAAAACACACTGTTTTCCTCGGTCTATGAGATCAGATCTGCTGACGTTCTTCGAACTCTTGACTGGAAAAATTTGGAAATAAGATGGTACTTAACCAAGGCAACATTCTTGTATAAAGTATTGAGTAATAGTGCCGCACTAATTCTGAAGATTCATTCATAAGTAGAAATATTTTACTAAACAATTATAATCTTAGAAATTCTCAAACTGATCTGACCCTTCCAAAGCCAAACAGAGAATTTCTCAAAAGAAGCTTTAAATATAGCGGTGCTTATCTTTGGAATAACCTTCCGCTTGAAGCTAAGCAAGCTCAATCAATTTATATATTTAAAAGATGTATAAAACAAAAATTTTGATGTTAATAACCGAGTCTGGATTCACTTAATCATATACTTATTCTGGGACACACCATCGTGGTTTATACGGCAGCTTTTGATAATGTACATATTGTAGTAGACTTAGTTTCCTTCCTTTTTATATTCTTTGTAATATTTTTATATCGACGCCCCCCGTGGAAATCAACTTTTGTAGTTGTCGGGGCTAGCGTCGCTAAATAAAGTGTGTATGTATGTATGTATGTCTCAGTAAATATTAAGTGATAAATAATGGAAGACAGGAAGAGGTATATTAACATATGTGAGTTATAGGACTGTTCAATCATAATTAATCTCTCATATCATGTTCAATTATGCTCCTTTAGTGCATATATTCAATTGCAACGGATGTGCATTTAACACAAGCACATTGCAACTGCGATATTGCTGGATTATAACTACTTTTGCACTAATGTGAGCGCTGGCATAGTAACGGTGTACGCCAAGATAATAATGCGGTCTCTATTGTTGTGGAAAATCTTGGTTTTCTTTGTCACAACTCCAAGCAGATGTAGGTTAGAAAGCCAAAAGTATTTCAAGAAAACGAATGATTATGGTAATTATAATTTTTATCTTGCTCCTAAAAACTGTATATGTGTTTGGTATACAGTTTGCAAAAGTTTTTGTCAAAACGGACGTCAACCGAAACTTAGTATATATAACTAATATTGGCGGCATTTTGCATCACAGTGCTTATTTAAATTAAGGAAGCAAAAACCTATAAAAATCTTATGCTTTGCATATATGTGCGGACGATTACCACAAAGTGACTGCAGAAAAACATGCAGTTTTTAATTAATTGCCCCCTCGACATCTGACGTCCGTGTCGACAAAAACGTCGCTTGCTTAAGCTCCCATAACAACTTCTAAACGCAAACACATGAAAATCAAAGTATCAAGATGTTATTCTTACCTATATATAGTGCAGGACAAAAATAAAAATGTATAAATTTGCAACTTTAGTTTTGCTCACAATGTTATAACACCCGCTTGTCAATTATTCTAATTTTCTTTTCTAAATTTACATTAACATTTTTCACACATTTATTGTCCAACGATATGTGCAAGTACATGTATGGTTTCTCGTGAAATTTGGATAAAACAAGAACTCGTGGGTTTTTCAAAGACCTCAAATAGCACTCGTCCCTTGGATCGACTAGTGCCGAAAACTCAATCGTGCATGTTTTATCCAAATTGCACTCGAAACCATCCTATATTACCTATACAAATAAGCAGCGGTCTTGCTATCAGGGATTATTCTAAGGTGCAGTACGTGATAATCAATTTGTGCAGTGATAAATTAGATTATGTGCGGTGATAAAATATTGTTCAATACCAGAAAGTGGCGACAAAATGGCCACTGCTTGTATATATACATACCTAAAGCCCCATTTACACTGTACGATTAGTTGTATACGATATATTCTTACTCTGGCGTATGTGATCGAATAAACACGTGTACAAACGTCACCTTTCAAATTTCGCCATTAGCGAATGAGCAATAACGTGGCATTAGCACTCGTTTTCATTCGTCAGAATGACAATCGTATACAACTAATCGTATCGTGTAAATGGGCCTTAATTTAATAGTACCACATACCATGGCTTTCAGTTTTTACTGGGAAATGGGAATATACTGTACTGGATGAAAATATTTAACTCAAAATTATTGCAATCTGAGAGCTCGGCTACTGTTTGCCAACCTATTGATCAATAACGCATTCATTTATTAATGTTTCGGTTGGCATATTTATTCCGATCGGGTGTCTCTCCTTAGTCTTCTAGCGGCCAAGTCGTGTTCAAGAAAATCACTTTTATGTTAACTTCGTGTGATTAAACTGCTGACAAGCGAATTTGTTTTGAGATTTTTGACGCTGCAAATATATAGTTTAATCTGTTTCATGAGTGTGAAAGACTATAGATCTTGAGCAATATTGCTTGCTGTTTTACATGAGATTCAAAAAGTATGTGAAAATAATTACGCATATTTTTGCATGAAATAGAATATGCAGAATGTAGATTTGGGCTCATTAGCGGTGATTTTGGCTCATTTGCCTGCGTCTAATTAGTGACATGCATGGGGTAAACTTTAAGTTGCAGAATCAGAGTACATGCACTCATGCAGGGCAGTATAAGAACGATTTCTAAACTGTCGTTAAATTTATATAAATTTTATCATTTTTCGTGCTATTGTGCAGTGATAAGATTTCCTTAGAATAATCCCTGCTTGTTATCGTCGCTATACTTCTTTGGACCATTCCCAAATTAACCAAAATTTTGATCTCAACAAGTCTAGCCAAAATTCCATCATGGCATGAAAGAGCATCACAAAATTAGTAATATTCCAAAGTTTCGTTGCGAAATGTTGTAAAATACGAATAATATAGCCTTGCGAAATTTGCAATTTTCAGTCACGTTAGATTACAAACGGGAATAAATGGTTACCACTTTTCTAACCTGAAGTTCAGGCCCTAATTTGAAATAGGGCCTGACACAAAACCTATCTAAACCGTGGGACCCCCATGCACATGTTATTTTTAGACACAATCATACAATATGATTGACACTGTGACTGTTATGTGTTATAGATTTCATTGCACGAAAAATATCAGAGGGAAAATATAAAGATATTCATTAATTTCATTTCATGTTATATTCTCATGAACATGTCCGCAGAGTGTGCATTTTAAACTTAAAAATCCAAGGTACTTTTAAGAGTTTAGTTTCGGCTCCATTTAATTTAACCAGAGCAAACAAAGATTTGGTCTGTTCTGTGCAACAGTGCAAGGACTGAATTCAACTTCAACTTTATTTAAACACGGTACTATTTCACAGTATATAAAAATATATGCAAATAGTTTTGTTCTCTGCGATCTACTTTCCGCAATTGGAATTAAAGTGCGTCAAGAAAATACGCTAAAATAATTTGTTTCATCATTAAACGAGGGATCTAAACGGCTTGACTGCCAAACTTTCCCAAGGTCTCAACTTGCTGGACGCGGATATACAATTTCTAACGGGATAACAACAGCAATAACGAAATTCTTTATCGTACCATGACGAAGGCGATATGGCTCAGAAAACAACGCCGGTAAGACCTGATAAATAACACTTTCACCGAAGCCAGTTGGCGGAACGGCAAAGGCCCTTGGGCCTTGGCTGTCAACAAACAAGCTTTCGAATGCACGACTTTTGCTGTTCTCTAAGCGTCGTGTGTCCAAACTTCGTCAAAGATTTTGATAATTTTGACAAAATACTGTGAGTTTGATTTATTTTCTGTCATAAAGCATATGCGAGCATCAGCCTTTAGATTGCGAGCATCAGCCTTTAGGTGCAGACGTGCCGTTCGATGCTCCGTAGAAATTGATTTCAAATCATCAATATGGTTACAGTGAAGGAGATGAAAGACCTTTTTAAGAAAGAATTAACGCCAATCAACAATACTCTCCAGCAATTAAGCTCTAATTTTGATGGCTTAAAAGATTCGGTCAAGTTTCTCTCAGACAAATACGACGATTTACTTCGCGAACTGCACTCAATGAACGAGAAACATGATTTGCAAAGCAAGAATTTAAAGAAAGCTAGAGAAGAACTAAACGAGGCAAAACAACGTGCCGCAGAAGCAAAACAACAAGTCGAAGAACTTGCACAATATATAAGGCGTGACTGTGTGGAAATCGCTGGAATTCAACCTACAAGGGACCTATCATGTGAAGCAATAGTGAATTCAATTGGCGAAACAATTGGAGTTCCCATTACAGCCGACGACATATCAATCGCGCATCCAATACCATCGTATAATCAATCTGCAGCGCCTAAATTAATTGTAAAATTCACTCGAAGACAAGTACGGAATAAGTTTTATCAAGCCCGTAAGAAGCTTGCCTCTAAGAAAGCGAAAGATCTTCCTCGACTTGATCTCGAGTCCGATGCACGGGTATACATTTCTGAATCTCTGACCCCTTACAAGAAGAACTTATTTGGTCAGGTCAATAAACTCAAGAAGCGATTGAAATGGAAATACATTTGGACATATAATGGACGGATTTACCTCAAGCAAGACGAGAACAATGTCGTGCATACTTTCGACACGCTGGAAGACTTCGATAAATTCCAATCAAGGAATCACTCAACTAACAACTAAGTACCGTTTTATTGTTTTGTTGTGTGTATATATTTATATATATATATTAATGCATGATGGCGTACGATAACAACGAATCTCATTTTTTATATGAACTACCCTTTTACAATTTAGATAGGGATGCATTACTTAAAGCGTCTGGGGCATGGGCATACTCCAATTCAACTACGAACTTAGATTCAAAAGATTTATTCCAAGATATCATTGAATGCCCCGACAATAATAGAAACCTAGAGGAAGGTATATACAATGAAAATTTTGAATCCAAATATTATAATATCAAACAAACTGGATCCTTCTTCCGCAAGGCTAAAAAACAACATGCGTTTTCCATAATGCACTACAATATGCGCAGTTTGCAAAAAAATCTGTCTATACTACGAGATTTATTAGGTTTAATTAAAGAAATTCCTGACATCATAGCTATTTCAGAAACCAAGTTAAATGAAAATAATACATATAATATCAGTTTGCCCGGCTACGAATTTATACACACCAACTCGAAAACGTCTGCTGGAGGTGTAGGGTTCTATATTGCAAACGGCATAAACTATGTCCCAAGGCACGATTTAGAAATATCGATAGAGGGAGTCGAGTCCAGTATGTTTGAAATTATACGCAAACGACAGAAGAATATTATTCTAGGATGTATTTATCGACATCCATCTAACGACCGTACTCAATTTCATGAGACGTTAGAGGCGACTTTGAAGAAGTACAATGTCGATGCATCGACATCTGAATATCTTGATATGCTATTTGGCAAACGTTTTATGCCAATAATTACTAAAGCAACTCGCATAACAAATCATACATCGACTCTAATAGATCATATTTACACAAACGTGCCACAAAAAATACTTAAATCAGGTATATGCGTAGTCGATATAACTGATCATTTGCCAATATTCTGCACTGTAGCAGAAAAGGTCTCGACAACTGTTGAAACACGATATTTTAGGGACTTTACTAACTTTAGGGAAGATTTGTTTCTCAAGGACGTAAGTGAAGAAAATATCAATTGTTTGGCCTGTGATGATGTGAATAGAAGCATGAATAAATTAGCGAGTATACTACAAAATATTACTGACAAGCATGCGCCAGTACGAAAAATACCATATAATAAAAGAAGGTTAATGAAAAACCCATGGATATCAAATGCGATTTTAATATCTATAAAGAAAAGACATAAGCTTTTTAAATCACATTTTCTAAGTAAAAACCCCGACAAAATAAGATATTATAAATCATATAACAACAAGTTAAATAAGATTAAAGAAGTGGCCAAAACCAATTATTATAGAGCACAGTTTGAAAGAAACAAAGGAAACTTGAAAACGACATGGAAGTTAATCGGAACGATAGTCAATAGGAAAGTATCTCACTCTTTTCCTGATATAAAACAGCTTATTATTGAACAAAAAAGCTATACAGATAAGGAAAGTATATGCGACGAACTTAACACTTATTTTTTAAATGTTGGTCGTAAGCTTGCTGAGGAACTCCCACAGGGAAATGCAAATCCGACTCAATATATTGTCAAATCATTTCCAAATAGCTTTATGTTTCGACCTATCTATCCAAATGAAGTATACGAATTGATTACGGAATTAAAAACAAATAAAGCTTGTCTCGGTACCCCGCAAAGATGCATTAAGCTGGCTCGTGACCATATATACAATGCGCTTACAGAAATTTTCAATAATTCTATTATCCAAGGTGTTGTTCCCAATATTTTGAAAATCTCGAGAGTAACTCCCGTCGATAAAGGAGGGGACAAGCTTCTAGCTACTAATTATCGGCCTATTTCAATCTTGTCCGCATTTTCACAAATATTTGAAAAACTAGTATATAAACAACTCATTAATTATATTGAAAATTACAACATTTTGTTCGAGTTTCAGTTTGGTTTTCGGAAAAATCATTCCACCTCTCATGCTATAACTGAAATTGTAGACAGTCTTAAACAAGCAATCGATGATAATTTCTATACATGCGGTGTATTCCTTGACTTCTCTAAAGCTTTCGACACTATAAACCATAAAATATTATTAAAATAAATTAGCAGCTTACGGTATCAGAGGACTACCACTTCAGTGGTTTACAAGTTATTTAACTGATAGACAACAGTATGTGGCTTTAGGGGGTTTTCAGTCATCTAAACAAACAATGACATGTGGGATTCCTCAGGGAAGTACACTTGGACCATTGTTGTTCCTAATATATATTAATGACTTGCCAAACTGCTCTAACAAATTAAAGTTTAGATTGTTTTCAGATGACACTAACATATTTGCCTCATCTAGAAATATTCAGGAACTAGAAACTTTAATGAACACTGAGATTTCCAAGGTTAAAGAATGGTGTAATTCAAATAAATTGTCAATAAATTTCTCTAAGACAAATTTTATGATTATTAAGTCAGCTAGGAAAAAGGACATGCAAATTGACATAAAGATACAAAACGCAGATGGTTCTTGAGTTCCTCTAGAAAGAAAAGATCATATAAAATATTTAGGGGTTATGATTGATGATACCATATCTTGGAAATACCATATCCCATATATTTGTTCTCGTGTATCTCGTGGTATTGGTATCTTCTCAAAGTTAAGACATTACTTATCAATTACTCAGCTCAAACAACTCTATTATAATATCATATACCCTCATATTTTTTACGCCATTACCGCTTGGGGAAGTACTTATAAGGTTAACTTAAAAAAGTTACAAACAAAGCAAAATCAAGTTATGAGGATTATGTTCTTTGCTACAACACACAGACCACTCACAAAGAGTGCTCTTCCATATTTAAATATGTTAGAAATTCTCAGTGTTGATAACCTTTATCGACTCAGTGCTTTAAAATTCACTCATCTATGGCACAAAGGCCAACTGCCACGCATATTTGACAGTTTATTTCAATATACTAGTGACGTACATACCTACAATACCAGATATTCATCTAAGCAAAACTTACACAAAAAACGTGTTAGAACAAACTATGGTAAACAAATGACTTCCTTTGCATTTATTGACCTCTGGAAAGAACTTCCTAAACAACTTAAACACCTAAATGTTTTTTGTTTTTCAAAATTGGTAAAAATATATTTATTAAAAAAACAATTTGAGACAAATTAGAGCTATGTTAATTAATATGTGCTTTAATTTCATTTTATTTGGCTCTGTCAAACAAATTATCTTTCATCTCTAATTAAAATTTAAAATCAATAGGCTGGTAACTAACTAGAAAACCTCACGGTTAATTTAGTTACCAGGCCCAATACCCGTTAAACAGTGTGTTAACTATTTATATTTATTATTCTATTTATTATTTAAGAACTAATTTTTGATAACTGTATTTTTTTCAAAAAGGGCAAAATATATTTATTATTATTATTATTATTATTATTATTATTATTGTGTCAATGATGCATGGTTTGAAATCAAGTTGTAGAACTTTATTTCTTGAAATACATGGCTAGTTGGTATAAAATATATTTCACAGAAAACTTTCTCGCGTACGTTTTGTATTAGATGAAGCAGTTGACATACATAGTATAATTAGACTGATTGCTAGGTTTCTCGATACTTCCCCGTTTTACGAAATAATTGCATTACGTCGTCAGAAAGCGTTCCGCGTAAACTAACGCTCTTGGCAGATTTTACCTCGTTTTTTAATTATTTCTACGCAATTTTTAATGTTATGAAAACTGAGTGATGTTTTTTCATGGTTTTGGTTTTCATAACATTAAAAATGTGTAAAATAATTAAAAAGACGAGGAAAAGTCTTCAAGAGTGCCGGTTTAACTCCTGAAATGGAGTTAAAATAATTTAACTCCTGAATAGGGGTTAGATTTCAACTCCAATATGAGAGTTAGATTAACACCAAAAGTGGAGTTACATTTGAACCCCAGAAATGGAGTTATTTCTAACCCCAAAAAACGGATTATTTTGAACCTTTTTTGCTAACCCCCTTTTCTGGAGTTATTTTAACTCCCTGAAACTAACAGTGTAATTAAAAGAAAACCGATAGTTCTCTGGATGCTTTAGTCCCATGATTCAGTTCCGGTTTTTGTCGATGAATGGCGAGTGCTTCTTTGAACAGCAGATTTGACCAGTGCTTAGCCCTGTCTATGTTGTTGCAGTTGTTCAGTAGGAAGGCTGTTAGGTTAAATTGGTCAGTGTTGGGTTCGTCTATGTTCAGTTGTAATAGATTTGTAAAATAGTTGAATTGTTCGCAATGAAGAGTTCGTCGATAACAACGAGGTAATTTTTTTGGGTATCAAATTAACATCTAACGGCACTTCGATTTTTCGTAAGAACACACACACAGGCCAGTATATCCATTTATCAAGTTTCACTCCGTGGTCGTACAAAATTGCGTGGATTAGGTCACTTGTGCATAGAGCTTACAAAATTTGTAGTAACGAAAGTTTAATTTCGGACGAAATGAGGAAAATTCGGAAATTTATGTCTTGGAACGGATTTCCTAAAACATTGGCCAACAAACTTATACAGAAATTCACTCCTAAGGTGGATCAAGCTTACATGAGTTCTAACATTAACAACCACATCGAAGCCCAAACAGAGCAAGTTAGTTTGTAAAGTTTATGTTCGATTTCCATACATAGGTAAACGCGGAACTGACCTTATGCACAAATTTAAACTAAAAATTTCACGAATACTAAAACAACCGTGAAAGTTCATTGTTTATTGGGATACCACCACAGGCTGCTTTGTTTCGTGCAAAGATAAAACACCTAAGGAGTTTCAAAGTTCGGTGATTTACAAATTTTCATGTCCTGGGTGCGGCAAAACATACATAGGAAAGACAGACATATGCCTCTACACGATTGAACGAACATGCAATCACAGACAAAAACTCAGAGATTTATAAACACATTAACACTTGCGAACAATTCAACTATCTCACAAATCTATTACAACTGAACATAGACGAACCCAACACTGACCAATTTAACCTAACAGCCTTCCTACTGAACAACTGCAACATCATAGATAGGGCTAAGCACTGGTCAAATCTGCTGTTCAAAGAAGCACTCGCCATTTACCGACAAAAATCGGAACTGAATCATGGAACTAAAGCATTCAGAGAACTATCGGTTTTCTTTTAATTATATATCAAATTACGTAGAGTATATATAACGCATGCACTTGTAATATAACCATTCCTAATGATGACTGAATAAAGTCGAAACGTTGAATCAAAATGCTTACATTATTCGGAGTTACCGTTGTATTGTATTTTATTTGTATACACGTCTAGAAAATCGGGTTTTTTATCATAAAGTTTGAAACAACACTATTATTATGTTGACAAGGTGTAGCGAAACGGCACAACGACTTTTCTAATATTCTATCAGAAAAGAATATTAGAAGAAAGTATATTATACAATTTATTAGAGTAATGTTTTTCGCGTGAAAAGCGATCGTATAACCCCCGTCATCGCTTGAAGTCTGTCAACGCGTAATTTCAAGTTTTCTTCGCTTTGTTAACAGTATATTTATATTGTAAAACTAGAAGTTACTATCGCAAGGAAAATGCTGCCTCAACCCCAAGGGATTAAAGGCAGCATGCACAATTTGCTGAACAAGGGCCGTTTATACGATCCCGCTTTGCCAGGAGATATGAGACAGGATGATTTTGATGTGCTTAAATAAGTCACGATGCATGATTCAGCAAAAAATTTCACTATTTTCTAGAGTTGGATTACAGTATAGTCCCTTCTTCCATCATGCAAACAGCCCTTAAGGCGCCTGTTTAGGAGGTAGAAAAAGTGCAATTTGAATATCAAACATCTTGCACAAAGTCGAAGGGCGGTTGAAAGTTCTAATTCTACTTTCTTGGCTTGAGCGGTTTTATATGAATATCTTCAATGCTTATAACATCTTGCTGTTGTATAATTATAATACTGTCAGTGGTGAAGCTAGCCATAGCAACAGGTCATGCTATGCAAGTTTTTAATGATTTGCATTATTCAAATAGATGCAGGTTTATCAGTATAGCATGCATACAGTATGGCCAGTTGCCATAGCTAGCTTGCCACTGAATACTGTACAATGTTTAAACGTACAGGTTTGAATATTTTGCAGTAATAAATTTATGTGGTGTTTCCACAAACTAAACTATTATATATTTTATTGCCATGCAAACATACAAAGAACTTATTATGTACAATGTTTATATAAAAATACTAAGGGCCTGTTTACATGGAGGGGAGTTACCCAGCAAGGCGAGTTACCCGGCAAGGCGAGTTACCCGGCAAGGCGAGTTACTCGGCAACGGCGAGATCCCAGCTGTTATAGAAACTAATAGTAATCCCGGGAGACTGTTTACATGATGCAGCCGAGTAACTCGCCTTGGCGAGTTCCTGCAGAAAGAGGCGGGATCTCGCCTATCTCGCCAGCTTGTATTTTGAACTTAGACAGCTGAAGTTACATTAAGAAACATAGGATGGAAAATTTGAGGCATATAAAGTTAATTTCAACTTACATTTTATTCTCATATCACGTCTTTCTTCGTTTATTACGGTATTAAACAAGCCACAGATCGACGTATACGGTATTTACTCCCATGTTCACGTCGCCATATTAACTTCTTCCAGTCACTCGATTACAAAACAAATGTCCCAAACCAAAGAACTCATAGTCAACTTTTAAAAGAATAACCGTTAATTTGTAAATCGTTGAATGGAAAGCAAAAAATCGTCAGCTAAAACAGCTGCTTGCTAACTTTCTGCTTTGTTTTGAATGTAAATGCAATGAGCTTTGTTTCTGCCCGCGATTTTTTGGTCAGCGACGACAAATTTCCCACCTGTTTTAAGTTGACATACTATACATGTAATCATATTGCTGGTATAAAGTTAATATGTGCAGAGAACAAACCACACTGGGTTGCTCTAGGGATCTTATCACAGTAAGTCTGATTTAACAACATTCAACAACGTTTTTCTGTGTTGGTGTTGTGTACTCAGGTGAATAATAGGTTTGAGATGTTACTCTGAGTGCATATCCACACCGGGCGAGCTTGAAAAATATGCCCGGCCACGGTGGGATTCGAACCTACGACCTTTGGAATACTAGCCCAATGCTCTTCCAACTGAGCTACGCGGTCAGGACGGTTCGAGTAAGTGATATTTTGGAACAGTATCTAGTTCCTTCAATACCAATGTGTTCTAGTAATATGAACTTTTCTGTGTTGGTGTTGTGTACTCAGGTGAATAACATGTTTGCGATGTTACTCTGAGTGCATATCCGCACCGGGCGAGCTTGAAACATATGCCCAGCACGGTGGGATTCGAACCTACCACCTTTGGAATACTAGCCCAATGCTCTTCCAACTGAGCTACGCGGTCAGGACGGTTCGAGTAAGTGATAAATCGGAACAGTATCCAGTTCTTTCAATACCAATGTGTTCTTGTAATATGAATTTTTCTGTGTTGGTGTTGTGTACTCAGGTGAATAATATGTTTTCGATGTTGCTCTGAGTGCATATCCTCACCGGGCGAGCTTGAAAAATATGCCCAGCCACGGTGGGATTCGAACCTACGACCTTTGGAATACTAGCACAATGCTCTTGCGGATATGCACTCAGAGTAACATCGCAAACATATTCCGCGTTTGTTGTTAAACTATAAACATCTAGAAATGAACACTATACTCAACGTCTTGGCACATAACAAACAAATATTAAAACTGAGTACATTGTGACTCGTAAATAAGGCATTATTGACGAATAGATCTGCTGGGCTATTATACACTGCCAGTAAATTCATGAAATACTTCAGAGCTCTTAAGTACATCTTGTCTCCTTGTGTTTTAATATAAGACATTATCAAATGTTCTAAACGACCATGCGGACAACGTAAACTCATGACATAAAAACACATTGCTTGCATGCAGAATGAACGCTAAACAATTCATGGCCTGGATGGATATTAGCACAAAGAAATAAAGCCATACGTACCTGGTTTCTTCGGGAAATGTTCGTATATATTTTTGCATCAAGTCAGATCAGTCCAGAATAAGTTTGCATATACTCTTCTAGAGCCATATAAATATTTGCAAGCACAATTTAAAATTTTTCTCGTACTCCCCCTGTCCGTCCACCCCCCCGGAAACACGACATCTTACCGGACAGACACAAATCGAGATCTCGACAATACATAGATCGGCGCGAATGACTGGGTCGAGTGAACTCTGGAGAAACCTTCATGTCAAAATTAGGAGTGCTGCCTTGGGCAGCAATAATTTCAATCTTAATTCGTTGAATTCGGGGGGGGGGGGTGTAACATCCCCCAAAGAAATGTCAAGATAGAGGCCCAAATATTTTCGGGCAATATAGACTACAGCTCCTCCAATAGATATGAATCCCGTACGCCCATGAGTGTACTAATTACAATCTATAAACAATCAACCAACATGGTTGGGTATTCCAAAACGATTTATTGTAAAAAAACGAATTCTTTTCTTGTTGCTTTGAGCTATTAGGCTAAAAGAATATTAATTAAAACCGACGAAACATGTACGTATCTAGTACAGTAAATGCAAATATTAAGTGAAAGTGAAACTTATTCTCAAGCAAATAAATGAACCAAGACTGTCATAATCTTTCGGAAAGGGCGGAGCTGTAAAGGGTGTATATATCGTTTCCAAATAACTTTTATAGACATAGAGGCATCTAACAACCCCATATATAAGTCAGCAATGGGTTCGGTCATGCTTCGAATTGCTCTTAAGTTACTCATAATTTTATGGTTAAAGAAGCCTGGTTTTACTACAGCAAGCTCCGTTTGTTACGTCTTTCATGGTGAGGAAGCAATTGATCCTAACCAGACGTTGGTCTATCAATCGCTATGGTGTTATCAGCAAATATACGACGCACAAGTCGGCAGGAAAGTAGATTTACAGTTATTGTTAATACTTAGTGGCGATGTTGAACTGTGCCCTGGCCCAGAATGCGGGGATTGCCTGAATATCAACCCAGAATTAGAATGTTTGATCAAACAGAGGGGTTTGAAGTGTTTTCATTTAAATGTACGGGGTCTGTGGAGCAATTTATGTCATGTTACTGAGCTTTTAACTGCACACACGGATATTGGTATTTTCACGCTCAGTGAAACACATATACAAGACGAACCCGATGAACTATACGTTATAAACGGCTATTCATTTATTAGTCTTCCACGTTCTAATGGTTTAGGAGGAGGTGTTGCGGTGTATATTTCTGAGCAAATAAACTGGACGAGGAGATATGACTTGGAATCTGAACTCGAATGTATTTGGTTAGAGACTTTCCCATACAAAACAAAAAGCTTCTTAATCTGTTCTATGTACCGACCTCCAGACACTTCCTCCTATACTCATGCAAATTTCAAGAACCTATTTGCAGGTATGTTGGATTTGGCAACCGCAAACTTGAAAGAAGTAATCGTCATGGGGGATTTGAATGTCAATTATCATAGAAATGAGGATAATACTGAGATAAAATCCATTATTTCGGTAAATGGCTTTAAACAAATAGTAAAAGAAGCAACTCGTACTACGGAAAATACCGCCACATTAATTGACATTATCATAACTAACAACCCATCAGTTATTGCGTGTACAAAAGTTGTTCCGATAGCCTTCAGTGACCATGACTTGATTGGCTGTGTAAGAAAACAACACCATTTAAAATATGTACCGAAAGTTATTAATTGCCGAAATACGAAGAATTATAGCAAGGAACTGATGTGTGACGAATTATTTAAACAAGATTGGACTCCTGTTTATGAGTCAACTGATGTTAATTACGCCTGGACATGCATGAAAGATATTATTTCATCGTGTTTTGACAAGCTAGCACCTATCATAAAGAAACGTATCCGTGGAAAACCATCTCCGTGGTTAACTGATGAGATAAAAAAGGCAATGAACACTCGTGACATATTATTACGTAAGTCAAGGAAAACAAAGTTTGAATCTGATATAATTGCATATAGGAAAAAGCGTAATGAGGTGAACTCGTTATTGAATAAAGCAAAGCAGGCTTATTATAAGGATTTGCTGAATGAAACGTCAAACAACTTGGACAGTTTTTGGAGTGTCATTAAGAAGCTATACCCAAACAATCCTAGCAAATCTTCTCCGCCAATGTTTAAAATAGGCTCAATTAACACGTCCGATCCCTTAACAATATCAAACGGCTTTTGTTCGTATTTCAGCACAATTGTAACATCCCTTAAAAAGAAAGTTTTTCCACTGAGAGACTGCCTTTGGATCTTCCAGGTGAAGCAAAGCGCCAGGACAAATTGCCGATTTAAGTTTGAAACTGTAAAGTTTCAACAAGTTTTTAATCAATTAAAGTCGCTAAAAAAGAAGAAATCTACTGGTCTGGATAATATCCCAGCTTACGTACTGAAGGACTGTGCTAGCGTTATTACTGAACCTCTAACCCACATTATAAATAGCTCCTTGATTACTGGTGTCTTTCCTACTGATTGGAAACTTTCAAAACTTATACCGATACCTAAATCAAAACCATATAACATCATTAAAAATTACCGCCCAATTTCAATTATTCCTGCAATATCTAAAGTAATTGAAAAGCTGGTTCATCATCAACTATCAAGCTATTTAGAAAATAACAACCTCTTGCATGAAAGCCAATTTGGATTTCGTAAGGGACGCTCCACTGAGTTAGCAGCAACACTCTTTACTGATAATGTTAAAAGAAAGGTGGATGAAGGCAAACTGGTTGGCGCTGTTTTCTTAGATCTTACCAAAGCATTCGATACTCTAAACCATGGAACTCTTTTGAATAAGTTGGAAAGCTATGGGGTGGAAAATATTGAATTACAATGGTTTCAGGATTATCTTTTCAACAGATCACAGCAAGTGCACTATAAGGAATGTATATCAGAAGTTGGGAAAGTCACATCTGGCGTCCCACAGGGATCTATTATTGGCCCCCTACTATTTGTTGTTTTCTTCAACGACTTTTCTTCATGCCTTAAACATTCAAATATTACCATCTACGCTGATGACACGGTAATCTACGTCGCTGGAAAGGATCTTTTTATTATTGAAACTCGACTTTCGGCCGATATGAAATCAATTGCCGAGTGGTGTGTCCAAAACGAACTTATTCTCAACACTAACGCTGGCAAAACGGAATCGATGCTCTTCGGTACTGCTAAAAACCTGGCACAAAACACGCAAACTTTAAACGTGACCTACAGAGACCAGTTGATTAGATCTACGACAACATATATGTACCTGGGTGTTGAAATCAACCATTCACTGAATATAAACACCAACTTTGATAATACATATAAGAAATCTTGTGGAAGACTAAGATTATTAAGAAAGATAAGACCTTTTCTTAACGTCAAGGCGGCGAAGGCCATCTATCAAGGGATGGTCTTACCAATTTTAACCTACTGTGGCATATTAAACTTAAATCTATGCAGAACCCGTCAAGACAAACTTTTATCAATTCATCGCCGTGCTGTAGGTATAATTGCATCAAAACCCAACCACGAACTTAGGATAAAATCTCCTCATATCTGCAATCAAATTAAAGCATGTGTATTGGTTCGGAAATGTTTAGATGGAAACGTTTGTTCGAATTTTATAAACTATTTTGAAACGCACAAACATAGCACGATGACCCGAAACAACAGATACAAAGCTAAACTGCCAAAAATCCGGTTAGAATATAGCAGAGGATCGTTTTACTACATGGGAGCGAAACTTTATAACAATCTGCCCCTGGATACACGTAAAACTGAAGATTTTAACTCTTTTAATAAGCTCTTAGAAGAAAACTTTTAACATATTTACCTTTTATAACTATATGATAATATGTATCTATACATATGTAAACTTCTAATGATTGAATTCCTGTATTTCTAGCATATTTTAAACTTATATAGTGACAGGACCCACATTGATAACAGTTCTTTATTGAACTGACGTGAACATCCTGTATAAATATTCGTTTAATAAAAATAAAATAATAACGGCAAGTGATTTAACGATCGCACAGAGGCGTTATTAGAGACCTTACGATTTTAGAACGGCAAATTGACAACGGAAAAAAATCCTTCAAATAAATGGTAGTAAAGAGAACTAGTGGAATATTAGCAATCGTATGAATTTAATACAGTCTTAGAAGTTCAAGACATGGGTTTTATGTTTGGGAAGAGTTCTGCTGAAGCCAGTTTGAAGTTGCACTTGTTGCGGCTTGAAATGCAGTCGTTGTATCAAGACGTGAATGTGATTTGGCGTTGCAAACAAAGCGAGGACAATGTCTAAATTATTCATATATTGTAATTATTTAGTTCTTTTTAATTATTTATTGTATTGGTAGCCGTTGCCGCCCTAAATCGCAAGGTGTGAAATCGGGGAACCGTCCCTCGAATCATGGAGCTATTTATAGGTGCAAAAGTTTTCGTAATGACCCTGTCACACTATTGCGTATCGTACTAGCGTATGCCAGCGTATGGAAAAGTTCAATCATACGCTGACATGCGCTTTAGGGGTACGTTAGGCAACGGTGGCATACGCATGTATATGCGGCAATGTAAGCACGGTTAAAATTTTTTCGTGCATGCGGACGTATATGCATGCATGGTTTACACTATACTCATACGTTTCTCTCATACGCAATAGATTAGTGTGGCAAGACCTTAACCGAGATCAGCATGTGATTGCAGTTCTTAAAAAACATGAAAATATTAAAACATTTATAAAATATTAGTTTAATTTTATAGTGGGAAAATAAATCTGCATATGAATGGAAAAAGTGTTTCAAGGCATTCCTAATTGGACACATATCCTTTCCCGCGCTTTTCTTATAAATTTTTGTTTATACAGAGCATATAAAAAAACTGAACAGATTTGAAATTGCTCTCAATTTCGCAAAACAGCTATTAGTATCCAGTTTTTAGCGTATGACAGCGTATGAAAATATCACTCATACGCCGGTATACGCTGATATACGCTAGGGGTACGTTAGGCATCCATGTAGGTTGTGTACGTTTCAAGCACGGTCGCATATGTTGGCATACGCTGACATAAGGCGAGGCAGAATTTTTTTTTAAGCATGCTCAAAAATTTTGGGCATATTCGGACGTTTGATTTATGCGATAAGTATACTCTAGCACATGCTAGTGCTTTTAAATTTAACTTGAAGAAAGAGTTATTGAGACAGTTTCGGATGGAGCAATAACTATATGTATTTTAGAGTACTAATTAGATAGAAGAAAGAATTTTTAAGACAATTTTAATCGACAAATAATTTCATACACGTTAAAGTATTAAATAGACAATGTAAATATAGTTTTTAGTACAGCAGTTCTAACTTTACTATTTTAGATTCTATTACACTCTTGTAACTATTTTAGTATATTGATTCTGAAAAGCCCTTTTTAGGGATGATCAATTATATATTCATTCATTCATTCATTCATTCATTCATTCATGCTGAATACGCTAGAGGTACGCCAGATGTACGGTACTCATACGCTGGCATTTCCAAGGATTTTTGTGAGTATGAAAACTATTTCATTAATTTTCATACCCTTCTCATAAGTTTCTCTCATATACCCAAGTGTGACAGGGCCTTATAATGATACCCATAAACGTAAAATTTCAAGCATATATAATTGCTGACATATCTATAAAAAAACAGCCATATTTGAAACATAGTAGACAGTTTTGTATGTTTTTAACGCGAAAAATTTAAGTAAATGCATTAACAAATTATATAGTTTATAATTAGCCGAATTAGCGAAAAGTGGCTATATTCATGACGCGCTTGTCAGGCGAAAAACACACTGCCCAAAGATTTATTCTAGTAGATGTGTCATAAAACTCAGTAGCTGCAATAGATTGGATACCTGATACCGCTGCACTTTTGAGAAAAAAATTTACCGCCACCATACTAACACGAATATTTATTCCGCTGTCTGCAAGACGTTTTTAAAAAATCACAATATTTTCTTTGCTTCAAGTGATCAGGATAATTTTTAGATTAGGTTTATGCCAAGGCAGGAAATAATAAAATATATAAGTTTCAAGAAGTTAGAATAAAAGCGCGAGATGAACTGTGAGATATAAAAAAGCTCAAATATCACTTGCGTAATTAACGTTTTAACTTGTTTTCGAACGCGTCCGAAAATAATCGCGAAAAAAAATGTAAAACTGACTACAATTCCAAAGTCAACGTTTTTTGTTCATTTTATGAATGACTTCTTCCACACAGAAAGTATGAAGGAATTCTGCAATCCTAAGAAATTCGAATGGTCGGTTTTTACACGGACTGCCTCTTAAGTGGTTAGGCATTTCACCTATGCATCCCAAGTTACTTACCAATATATCTTTCAAGAATAATTCCCGGGTCAGTTCATATATGGGGTGAAACCACATGTCAATTTTTTTATGGTTTCGACAGTTAAGATTGTAGCCTACGTAGCAATGAGACAAGTAAAAATCCGAGTTTTCTGTTTCTACCTTTAATAATTTGCCATTATTTGGCTGTTTGAGGGCATTTGCTAATAAAGTGGGCAAGGCTTACACGACTTCGTTAAATAGTAGCTTAGTGAAATCTTAATGAAACCTTGGATATTTACGATCATTTCATGAAAGTAGAAGCATTAATTTAACCAAGCTGACGTTATAAAATTAAAAAATTATAGTTAAAATTGAGGAAAACCAATTTGAATTTTTTTTTGCAATGTGAATCGCAGATATTTACGGTCTAAATTTAGAAATGTGGTGAAGACGAAAGCGCAGATATGGCAGCAGCATCTTGAACTGCATATGTATGTACACTTATTTTACGGTGGTTTCAACAGTTGTTCTTTTCTGCCTCAAAGTTACTTTGACTTAAGACAGTTCGATGCAGTATTTAAAAAGTGAAAAATTTGCGATTGAGATTTGCATTGTTAGACAATTTTTTTGCTTCAAACCATCTAGTGTCTTTCTTACATATAAAACATGTAAAGAATGTGTTTTCCTTTCTCAAAGCTAAATATAACAGCCTCGTTGTTATGATAACATTGACGTTTTAACGTAGCACAATTTTGCTTCTGAAGTAATTTAACATGGAAAAAAAATTCAGTGACCACATATTTATTTGATAAAAACGCTTCCTTTTACTATATATTGAATTATTTGGGTGATTGAAAAAATTACTGTTATTTAATTTAATTAAATCATTTTGGCTTGAAAGATATCC